TCCGGGACGGAGCAGCAACGGGGCCGGGACAGGGTCGGGGCCGGGGCAGGTCCGGGACGGGGTCGGGGCCGGGGCAGGTCCGGGACAGAGTCGAGGCCGAGGCCTTTTAGGGGCGGCGGAGGGGCCGCGTCAGGGGCGGCGTAGGGGCCGCGTCAGGGGCGGCGTAGGGGCCGCGTAGGGGCGGCGTAGGGGCCGCGTCAGGGGCGGCGTAGGGGCCGCGTCAGGGGCAGCTTAGGGGCCGCGTCAGGGGCGGCGTAGGGGCCGTGTCAGGGGCGGCGTAGGGGCCACGTCAGGGGCGGCGTAGGGGCCGCGGCAGGGGCGGCGTAGGGGCCGCGTCAGGGGCGGCGCAGGGGCCGCGTCAGGGGCGGCGCAGGGGCCGCGTCAGGGGCGGCGCAGGGGCCGCGTCAGGGGCGGCGCAGGGGCCGCGTCAGGGGCGGCTTAGGGGCCGCGTCAGGGGCGGCGTAGGGGCCGCGTCAGGGGCGGCGTAGGGGCCGCGTAGGGGCGGCGTAGGGGCCGCGTCAGGGGCAGCGTAGGGGCCGCGTCAGGGGCGGCTTAGGGGCCGCGTCAGGGGCGGATTAGGGACCGCGCAGGGGGCCACGTAGGGGCCGGGTAGGGGCCGCGTAGGGGCCGCGTAGGAATCGCGTAGGGGCAGCTAGGGGGCCGCGAAAAATTAGGGCAGGGCGCGACGCGCTTCGGGCAGCTAAAAAAAATGTTACTTATGGTGGGCCCTTAGGAAGGAACGGTCCCATGTGGGAACCCGCTCTGATACCATGTGAAGAATGAAACAGGAATGAATGAACTAGGAAAGTGTGAGATACAAATATGAAAGCTGTACCCCTTAGTGTCTACCCCACTACAGCCTACATAGGCTAAGGCATATATATCTGACAAGATACTCGGCCTCGTCACCGCGGTCCACGGCACGGATACTCCTAAGGAGCCTGCCACAGCTCAGCAGGCTCTGGGGGGGGAGCATAGGGAAAAATGGCGTGAAGCCATGGACAAGGAACTAAAAGCACTGCAGGAGCGCAACACCTGGAAAGTCGTTCCTATCGGCGTAGCACGAAACAAGACCATACTCACTGGGAAGTGGGTCTTCCGTGTGAAGACGAAAGCAGACGGCACCATTGACAAATTCAAGGCACGCTGGGTCGTACGCGGCTTCGACCAAGAGCATGGCCGCGACTTCACAGAGACATTCGCCCCGGTCAGCCGACACACTTCACTACGGATTCTTCTTGCAATCGCCGCCATGAAGAAAAAGAAACTGCGACAAATCGACGTCGCCAATGCATTCCTTTACGCACCTGTTGACGCCGAAATCTACGTCGAACTCCCACACGGTTCCCACGGAGAACCTAACCAAGTCTGTCAACTGCTGAAGTCACTGTATGGCATCAAACAGGCCCCAAGACTGTGGCAGCAGTACCTACACGCCCGACTTACTCGCATCGGATTCCGGCAGCTACCGCATGACCAAGGCATGTACCGGTTCACGAAAGGCGACGACTACATCCTACTAATCGTCTACGTAGACGATCTACTCTACATCGGGTCGACCGACAATGTCACTACCTGGTTCGAAGGGGAGTTACAGAAAGACCTCACACTCACAGTCTCATCTACCGTCACACAGTACCTCGGCCTCAACATCCAGGAAGGAGAAAGCGCGATCTACCTCAACGCCGCAAAATATGCCGACACCATCGCCAAACGCTTCGCACTCACACCAACTACCATCTCCACGCCATACCGCTACACGGTAGGAAATAACAAGGCAAGATCCACTCCACTAAAGCCCGCCGGGATACGCGACTACCAGAGGAAACTGGGATGCCTTCTCTTCGCGGCCGTCACCTGCCGTCCAGACCTATCATACTCAGCAAGTCAACTCGCCACCTACCTCAAAAGGCCTGAAGCCGAACACATGATGGAACTCGACCGCGCTCTACACTACCTCGTAAGCACTTCAACGATCGGCCTGATCTACTACAAGAACACAACTACAACGCCCAAGTTAATCGGATATGTCGACGCCGATCACGCCGGCGACCCCGACAACAGACGCTCACGTACCGGCTACATCTATCGCCTCGAGCCTATCGGACCTATCTCCTGGCAGTCGAGCAAACAGGAACTAATCGCTCTTTCCTCAGCTGAAGCCGAATATATCGCACTCTGCTCAGCAACCAAGGAAGGACTCTACCTTCGCGAACTCCTGGAGGAAGCAAAACTGGCTCAGTTACCCAGCTTCTCCTTGTTCTGCGACAACCAGTCGGCAATTCGCATAGCCAACAAAAACGGATTCGCGAACAGGACGAAGCATATCGCCCTGCGATATTTCTTCGTAAAGGACGAGATCGAGAAGGGGAGACTTGAGCTGTCTTACTGTCCCACATCCGAGATGGCAACTGATTACTTGACCAAGAAGCTCGGAAAGGCGAAGTTCGAATATTGCATGCTGCTGACTGGACAGAGCCACGTCACCAGCAGCGACACTCCAGAAGCGAAGGGGAGTGTTGGAAACAATTAATTTAAAGCGCCTCTGTCGTGTCGAAACACCGAGACAGAAGCGAAGCCAAACATATCGAAGCATCGGCGAGTCAACCCTCGGAGGTTGAACAACTGCTGGAGGTTACGCGAAAGTCAAAGGTCAGCGACCTTTGACCTGACAAGTACAGCGCGACAGCAAGGACAAACAACTGACTCGCTACTGAGCAGTTGCCCGAGTCGTCACTGTATCGAACCGCAACAGCAATGGTAAAACGGTTATCAGTTATAACCTTTCATATTCCCTTGTATTCTTATAAAAGCTTGTATCTCATTGTTATTAATCAATCTACTTTGCTCTCACATACTAGTGCAAGGTGGTTCACAAGTCTTCACTTAAACGCTTCCGGTATTACATCATCCTACTCTGAACTTAGTCCTGCAAAGATCCTAAGGGCTTTTCTCAGCCCAACAGTATAATCCTAGTACACAAAATACACAAACATTGTTGATTTTCATGGTGCAACTTTAAACTCAATGTTTTCGGGCCTTTAAAGCAATATATATTTTGGCTCATTCATTCTTTACACTCCTTGCGTATTTGCGAATAACAACTCACTGCTTAAATAATTTTCTTACACTTTGCTGGATTCGCATCCACAAACGGGTACACTACCATCACTTTTATGGCGGGAAGCACACAAGCCCACGTCGTGTCATTATGGGGCACCCATTTGGGGCTCGCGAAGGCATTGTGGGAGCCTCGCAAATCGAGATACTGTAGTGCCCTGCGTCGCCGTCCATTTCGCAAGTACGGTGTTACGTGGGAGGGGAGCATCTGGCGGGAATGATACGAGAAGAACGAGCGGTTGAGTGCGGTGTCACTTTTCTTGTTGAGTTCAGATCAGACCAGGCTAGACCTAGCAACAGCCCTGGTTGAGCAACAGCCGTGGTTGAGCAACAGCCGTGGTTGAGCAACAGCCGTGGTTGAGCGGTATGTGCTTCTTCATCCCCACAGAAATAAATTTCACGAGTCCTCCCTGACCCATTCAGGCTCACAACCACCTCGCTAATAGACAATACCTGCTTCAGTAGCAGAAGCAACAAGCAGAACAGCTAGTCATTCTTTATTTTCTCCGCCTTTCACAATGCCAGTCGGATCACCGATCCAGCGGCTACCTGAGGAGCTTCTTTCGCAGATCCTGCGTTTTCTGGTTCGACCTGATGGCTTGCCAGAGCACGCACTTGTTAGCAAGCAATGGCATCGGATCGCGTGCCATGTGCAATACGAGCTCCGATTGCCCAATAGCCTCCGTATGGATCCGCGTCGGCTTGTTCAACTTCTATCCTCGTTCCCTAACCTCGAAAAGCTAATCCTTTCCTCTTGCAGCCTCACCTCCATCTCCAAGTTTTTAGTCTCTCACCTCGCTAGCACGTGTCACCATTTGACCCAGCTTCATGTCGAAACGATGTCACCTTGGACTAATAAAAGAGATGTAACCGAGAAGAGCCTCATTGCGCTGTTCGAAGGGTGTACGCGGCTGGAAGATCTCTACGTGTACTGCTCGAAGAATGCTGCCATTCCCACGTCAATCGGCCGACTTACTTCCCTCAAGCACCTGCACTTCGTGGCAAGTGGAGTCATGCGTCTTCCCGACACACTGACCTTGTTACAATTGCTCAAAAGGCTCGTGCTGAACACTTATCAGCTCGAAGCTCTGCCTCAGAATTTCGGCAATCTGATTTCTTTGACGTCGCTGGAGCTCCACCATAGCCGCTTGGCGTCACTTCCGGAATCTTTCGGGCAACTTACCGCTCTCAACCGTTTTTCCTTGAGTCGCTGTTCTACGCTGCAGCTGCCGACCTCTTTCACCGAGCTCTCTTCTCTCGCCGTCCTGGAGCTCCGACATTGCAGCATTCTTCCTCAGTCGCCGGCCGTTTTCGGTCAACTGGGGGCGCTTGAAACCCTCATTATGGTTCAAGTGAGGGGAATGCGTGACTTAATTGCTGATCTGGAGCATTTCCAGCGACTGAAGGCTCTATTCATCAAGGACTGTAGGGACATCACGACTCTTCCCGTGTCTCTTCCCCGCCTGCCTGCACTCTCCGAACTTACCCTTGACATGGGACAAATTTCAGTGCTGCCTGAAGATTTCGGGCAGTTGTCTACGCTTTCGGAGACTCGTGCTAAATCTGCGAAGTCTCACAGCCTTACCTGATTCCATCGCCCGGGACACCACTCTTCAAGAGATTTCCCTCGATCATCTTCTGAATCTGAGACATCTGCCGCAGGAGTTTGGTCAGCTGGTGTTTTTAGAGAAGCTGTATCTGAAAGACCTCCAACAGCTCACGCACCTGCCTGAAACATTCGGGCAGTTAATAGCTCTTCGGGAGCTGAAATTGTTGGAGTGTAGGCAGCTGCAGCAACTTCCCGACTCCGTGTCCCAGCTGTCTTCTCTCGAGCACCTGGAGATAACGATTGTCCGTGCCTCACTGTGCTGCCAGACGACATGGGGAAGGGTCTCCGTTCCTTGCGCCATCTGCTTCTATTGGAGTGCACGGTTCTCACCCACCTCCCCCCATCCTTCTCCGGCCTGGCATCTCTTGAAACGCTGAAGATTGTACACGCGAAACGCGTCAGGGGCGCGCTGCTGGACGGATTTGGCTGCTTGAAGAGCCTCAAGGAGCTGTCGCTCGATTCCATGCCACGCTTATCCTCCCTTCCTGCTTCATTCTCTGGCGTTGATTCCCTCACCAGGCTGGACGTGGGAAATTGCCCTAAAGTAACGGTCCTGCCAGAGGGAATCGGACGGCTGGCGGAGCTCGAGGAGGTTAGGATCTTTAGGATGGGCGGCCTGATATGTCTCCCTCCGGCGCTCTTCGAGTTGCCCTGTCTGCTGGCGTTGGACGTGCGGGGGTGTGGTTCGCTAAGTGGGGTGCTAGGGGATGAGAAGGTGCTTAGACGAACTGCCAGGGGATTTGTGACCACTACCGGCAGCAGCAGCAGTAGCCGCCCTCTGCTTTCGTCCATTCAGAGCCTCAAGTTTAAAGCGCTTAATGTGGAGTCTTTTGGTCCATCCCTCGGCTGTCTGTCCTCTCTGACGCAGTTGAAGCTCCTGGAAATGTACAAACTTGAACTTCTCCCTGACTCCATCTCCCAACTCTCGCAGCTGCAAAGGCTCAAGATTGATGCGGCCTACCATCTGAAAGCACTGCCCGAGACCCTTGGGGGGCTTGCAGGGCTGCGTACCTTGCAGCTGGTTAACCTCATCTCAATGCGGCAGCTGCCCGAGTCTCTCGGGCAGCTGAAGATGCTTGAGACGCTGGAGATTATCGATTGTTACAAGCTAATGCAACTTCCAAAGTCGTTCGTTAATCTACCCAAGCTACGATCCTGCTCTCTCATCATGCTTGGAATCCCAAGCATTCCGGATGACATATGGAAGCTGTCTTGGCTCCAGAAGTTGCTGATTCTGGGACTGAAGCAGTTGCAAAGCTTGCCAGATTCGTTCACTCGGCTGCCTAAGCTTGAGAAGCTGGAGGTGATCATATGCAAGAAGCTGACTCGGCTGCCCACCTCTCTCCGGAAAATGCCAACATTGCGTGAGTGCAATATCAGTGAATGCCAACATTGCGTGAGTGCAATATCAGTGAATGCCAACATTGCGTGAGTGCAATATCAGTGAATGCCCTCTGCTCTCCCGCCGAGACATGAGAGGGGTTCCTGCAAGGAGAGAGGAGGATGAAGGAGAGGAGGGCGAGGGGGAGGAGGAAGAGGAGGGAGGGGATGCGGAAGAGGAAGAGGGGGAGGAGGGAGGCGATGTGGCTGGGGAAAGAGAAGAGGCGGGTGGGGAGGCACCAGAGGACGAGGAGAGTGGGGCTGAAGATGATGATATTGAGCATGAGTATGCCATGGACAGTGACTATGATGACGACATTGGCAGACGCTGGGGGGGTAGTGATGATGATGACTAGGATGAATCAGACGGCAAAGCTGGTGCGGCGGGTTGGACGTTGGGGATCGGGAGAGCGTGTATGGAATTAGATTGTGGTAGTTGTTAATGGGGAGTTGATGTGCTTTCTGAATGGGTTGGTAGCGCTCCTTATTGGCGTGTACAGTGAACTGTGTGCAGCGTGGTTTTTTAGAAACGCAGGGGACCATCTTCCCTTAAGTGGGCCGTTTTCCCATCAGTATGATAAGACATCATTCTCATTCCCACCACATGGCAATGTAGTGAGATGAGATGAGATGAGAAGCACCACGGACAAAATTTGCACCAGAAACAAGGCTTCTTGCACCAAGCGCAGGACTCCTTACAAAACAATTACGTTCTAGTACTAGAACTGACTATAACTGTAGAGAGGACGCTCTATTGCATATGCTTACCATCATGCCAGCCACCAAACCTATCCTAGCAAAACTACAGGAAATAAAAAATGCATGGTACATATTTCCAATCCAAACATAATAACATAAACAAGGTCTGTTTATTTCCGATCCGAGCACCATAGTAGAGCTCAAGGTAGTCGAGAGCGCGGCGGTTCCACGTCCAGTCCTGCTCCATCACTCGCCTAACCGGCGCGATTCGAGATTGAAAACCACTTGACACTGCCTATTTCTGAGCGCCATAGTAAAGCTCGAGGTACGGTAGTTAAGAGCGGGGCGGATCCACGTCCAGTTCGCTCCATGACTCGCCTCGCTCCGCCTGGTGCAATTCGAGCAGAACTGCGGCATGCCTCCCCGCCTTAACACTGCCTATTTCCGAGCGCCATAGTAGAGCTCAAGGTAGTCAAGAGCGGGGCGGTTCCATGTCCAGTCCTGCTCCATCACTCGCCGTGCCAGGCCCTGCCACCACTCCCTCCCATCGTACCACCCCGAGATTGCCCTGATGGGCATGGAGAAAGGGTGAGAGGAGTTGGGAGAGGGGAGGAGGGGATGGGGTGAAGGCGGTGTGCAAATTGCCAAGGAGGTGCGATGAGGCACATTGGTTGGAGGGCATTCCAGTCAGAGATCACACGCTTTATCGGATTGGCAGTCAAGTCCTGCTTCATCACCCCTCTTTCCAGGCCCTACCACTCAGGAATTGGCCTGTTGGGCCCGGAGTAAAAACAGGGGGGAACAAGGTGAGTACTTGCAATGCAAATAGATGCAATAAGGCACCACTTCAGACAACGGAAAGGCATACAATGGAATGCCCAGAGTCCACTTGAAGCATAACGCCACTGGAACCACAACCGCTAAAAGCATACCCAAAAGAATCATACCCAGTAACTTCACAGCCCACTGGAGCTCCACGTAGAAAGATCGCACACACTAGAGTCCCACCCACTAGCAGCACACATACCGGTTGAGGGCATAGTCAACCCCAGCAGCGTCAGCACCTTCAAAGGAGAACCCATTGGGCTCCATGCCCCTCTCTGTCGCTCTCTGCCTGCCCTCCTCACTGTCCACATCCATCACCGTGTCCCTCAGCCCACCCGCTACACGCATACCCCCTAAAAGTATACCCACTGGACGTACACCCACTGAACCCACACTCACAAGAATCACACCCACCAGAGCACAAACACTAGACTCCCACCCACTAGCAGCCCACCTGTTGAGGGCATAGTCAACGCCAGCAGCATCGGCCCCTTCAAAGGAGAACCCGTTGGGCTCCATGCCCCTCTCTGCCGCCCGCTGCCTGTCCTCCTCACTGTCCACGTCCATCACCGTGTCTCTTAGCCCGCCTGTCTTGCGCACCACTGGCACCGCTCCATACCGCATTGCAACCAGCTGCGTCAGCCCGCACGGCTCAAAGATGGAAGGGACGAGAATCATGTCACTGGCCGCATAAATCTGCGGGGAAAGGGCGGGGGGGGGGGGGGGGAAGGGTGGGGGGAAACAGAAATGAAGGTTGGGGGCTTTTAAGGTGCCTCATAGGTCGGTTCAGAGATGGAGGGGACGAGACTCATGTCACTGGCCGCGTAGATCTGCTGGGAAAGGGGGAAAGAGGGGGGAGAAGGAGAAGGAGACCACATAGTTGGACCAGAGTCACACAGAAAACACTCAGCAGAGGCAATGGAAAGGGATCTGCATAAGCTAGGTAAACGAGAATGCCACAAACCATAGAAAAAAGAGCATCTAGTGAGTCGACCCACCCCACGCACTCACCACACACTCACCACACGCACTCACCACATGGCGAGGCACTCACCAGGTGAGACAATGGCTCATCATAAGTCAGCCACAGCCTGGCCATGTCCCCATGCAACCGCCCCAGATCCCTCGCAAGTCTCAAACTCGCCCTGCATGCGCCCATCAGGGGCCGACCCCAGCAGCACCACCTGCCCGGCCCTCTCCAATGTGCGCCACAGGGCGTGCTTGATGAGCACACAGCCTCACACACACAACCTCACACGCAGCCTCCCACGCAGCCTCCCACACAGCCTCACACCACACGCGCTCCCTACAAGGTGATACACTCACCAGGTGCGACAAGGGCTCATCATAAGACAGCCACAGCCGTGCCATATCCCCATGTGACCGCCCCAGATCCCTCGCGAGCGCCTCGAACTCGCCCTGCACGCGCCCATCGGGGGCCGACCCCAGCAGCACCACCTGCCCGCCCCTCTCCAATGTGCGCCACAGGGCGTGCTTGATGAGCGCTATGCCCTTCTGTGCTGTCAGGCGCGTCACTATGCCCACCAGGGGGCGGTCCTCTGAAGGGGAGAAGGAGCGCAGGTTGAGGCGGGCACGGAGCTCTGCCTTGGCTGCCTGCTTGCCCTCCACGACCTCGGCGGCGGAGTATTTCATCTGCCAATGGGTGCGGACGGGGAGGGGGTGGGGATAGGGAAGACAGGAAACAAGGAGCAAGGGAAGGGAGTGGGGGCGGGTTGGGGAAGGGAGAGGGCGTGCTTGATGAGTGTTTCGCCCCTTTGCGCTCTCAGGCGCTTCGCCCTGTGCGCTGCCACTGCTTGAGTGGACTCAGAAGGAGATGAGTTTTAAGTCGACTAGAAAATAGACTCACAGGAAGGAAAGGATCGCCCATGGGGTCCCAGAGGTCGGGGTCGATGCCATTCAGAATGCCGTGGAACTTCGCCCTGTGCGCTGCCACTGCTGCATGCCCACTGATCTCCGCTGCATATGTGGGGGACACCTGAAGGAGGGGGTTGGGGAGACAAGCAGGAGAGGGGAATGGAATGGGAAGGCGCTTTACTGTGTGTGCTGCTGCCACTGCTGCACGCCCACTGATCTCCGCCGCGTATGTGGGGACACCTGGTGTGGGTGGGGAGGAGTTGTGGTGGGGGGAGAGAGGAAACGGGGAGAGGGGAATGTGAATCAGAAGACGATTTGCCCTGTGTGCAGCTACTGCTGCATGCCCGCTGATCTCAACGGCGTGTGTGGGGGACACCTGAGGGAGGGAGAGCGGGAAGGGTGGGGGTGGCTGGGGTAGTGATGAGAAAGGGGTTGATGTGAGAAGACGCTTTTCCCTCAGCGCCGCCGCCACTGCTGCATGCCACTGATTGCCGCATATGTGGGGGATGCCTGAGGAAAGGGGGCCAGCGGGGCCAGCGGGGCCAGCGGGGGCAGCGGGGCCAGCGGGGCCAGCGGGGCCAGCGGGGCCAGCGGGGGCAGCGGGGCCAGCGGGGCCAGCGGGGCCAGCGGGGCCAGCGGGGCCAGCGGGGCCAGCGGGGCCAGTGGGGCCAGCGGGGCCAGCGGGGGCAGCGGGGCCAGCGGGGCCAGCGGGGCCAGCGGGGCCAGCGGGGGCAGCGGGGCCAGCGGGGGCAGCGGGGGCAGCGGGGGCAGCGGGGGCAAAGGAGAGGGGAATCGAGGAGAGGAGGAAGGCACACCCTCTACAGCCACGCTCCACAGTGCCAGACACACACACACACACACACCCAGAGGTAGCACAACACAGCACAGAGCACTCACGGTGGTGGCCATATCACAGGCAGCCATGGCGCGGGCAATCATGTCGTGCCGAACTCCAGGTTGTGGATTGAGAACACCGTGCGAGTGTTGGCCCACTCAATGCAGTCACATTCCTTACAAGCACGCCCAGCGGTCCACACACACACATATAGTAGTGAGCACTCACAGTTGTGGCCATGTCGCAGGCAGCCATGGCGCGGGCGATCATGTCCTGCCCGAACTCCAGGTTGTGGATTGTAAACACCGTGCGAGCATTGCCCCCTCCGTACCCGCTGTACTGCTCCCTCTGCAGCCATGCCACCGGCGCTGACGACCAGTCGTGGCAATGCAAGAGGTCCTGGGGAGAGGGGGAGAAAGAGAGGGGAAGGGAGAGAGAGTGAGGGAAATCTGGGACGTGTCAAATCAGGATATTAGGCTTCAAGATCCCTGCTTTCACCCCCCCCGTCCGTGTCCACTGTACTGCTCCCTCTGCTCCCTCTGCTCCCTCTGCTCCCTCTCCATGACCCCATGCTAACACCCTCCTCCTCCCCTTACTCACCCCTCGGTCAGTAGGATTCTCAGTGCATACCGGGGCGGGGAGGAGCGGCCTGTCTAGAGCAGGAACTCGAGGACGGTGTGACAGAAGCTTTTGGGATTCACAAAAACACCCTATCAGGGACTAGCCTGTGTGTCACGCTCACGCCTCCTGCTGCCAGACGTACCGGGGAGCGGCCCGTCTGCAGCAAAAACTCAAGAGCTGCATGGCAGAAGGTGCCAAAGCGGGCAGCGTCGTCCTTGCGGCCGTAGATGCACCCCACCCAGAACAGCCTGCCCGGGGGAAGACAGGGTGGGGAGGGGGAGGGATGGAGAGGAGAGGACCCGCAGGAAAAGACAAAAATGAGGAAAAAAAAAAAAAAAAAAACCGAAGAAAGAGAATGATTAACAGAACAAAACGAAAGCGAGGAGAAAGAAATCAGAAAGAGATTCAAGAAGAAAGAAAGAAAGAAAACACACACACAAGTGTGCGTTCGTTATTTGATCAATGAAATACGCAAAGAGTGAAGTTGTAACTCATCCCCTTCCAGGCTGGCTGCAGAGCACAGAAATGCTTCACGCACCTTGTTCCTCAAGCCCAAAAGGAGAAGTTGTGACTCACTCCCTTTCATGCTGCAAAGCACAGGGATGCATCACACACCCTGTCTCTTTAACCCATAAGAAAAGCTGCGACTCACCCGCTCTCCGGCTCTAAAAAGTTAACGGGAATGCCCTCCACACGGCCGTGCCACACCAGCCACCGCGAGAGAGGGGGGGTCCGAGTCGACCAGACCAAGCGTCTGAAGCGCACAAAGGGAGCTACACACGCACTCACCCGCTCTCCGGCTCTAGAAAGTTAACGGGAATGCCCTCCACACGGCCGTGCCACACCAGCCACCGCGCACCGCCCCACACGAAGTCGCCCTTTGCTTCAAGCCCTTGCACCTGTTGGTACCAGACAGGACGGACAGGGAAGGACAGGACAGGGAAGGACAGGACAGGGAAGGACAGGACAGGGAAGGACAGGACAGGGGAGGACAGGACAGGGGAGGACAGGACAGCATGGGCATGTGGAAAGAGCACGATGTTGAGGCACCTTGACTTGAAGTTACCCACTGCTAGTCGCCCCTCGCTTGCAGCCCTTGCACCTGCGGGCGCCACATGGGACGGGACGGTGCAGTCCTATTTCAGCAGCACCACCTTCACACGATGGCCCAGCTCCCGTGTGTCTCGACACGGGTGGCAGTGGAGGAAACACCACAAACCACGACCCTTTGAGCTTCTGACTCACCTGGTCATACTTGAGGCAGTCGTATTTGGGCAGCACCATCTCTAAGCGGTGGCCCAGCTCCTTCAGAGCTCACTCAATCATGCACCTCAAAGCATAGTTGTAGTTCAAGCTAACGAGCCCCAGCATCCCAGACCGTCAACTCACCTGGTCATACTTGAGGCAGTCGTACTTGGGCAGCACCACCTCCACGCGGTGACCCAGCTCTATTGTGGCTCGAGAGAGAGATGTTACCACGTCGCCCAGGCCCCCCACCTGGCAGCACGGAGGGACGGATGGGGAAGAGGACAGAATGGTATATTGCCCTTCGAGTCAGTTCAAAAGGCCCTCATGGCTTGACTCGAGACAGCGATGTCACCACGACGCCCAGCCCCCCCACCTGGTGGTAGCGGGGATGGTATGGAAGAGAGAATGGTTCACTGGAGGAAGGAAAAGATGTCATGGACTGACGGCAGAAATGGTTCAGACATCTTTGTCTGAGTGCAAGCCGGTGGAAGGGATCTGACTGCTCTGTGTAAAAAGTGAGTTATTGAGACGTCTCATAAACTCACTCTTGACACGCAAGCCGGTGGAAGGGATCCGAGCAACCTTTTCAGGCCCCTTACCCCCTCCATGGCAGCTCCATTTCACTAACGAGCCCAACGGAAACTCCCTAACGACTTCTCTTCCCTCCACCCACCCCACCCAAGCCCCTTTCTCCCCCCACCCCTTCCATGCCCCTCTTTCCCCCATCTCACCTTGGCAACGGGTGTCATTTCGAAGGCCACGTGGACGATGTAGAGAGGCGGCTCCCTCACAGTGCTGCCAGCCACAGGCACATGGTAGTCCAGTCCCCTCTCCCTCCACCGCCCTCCCACCTCACCTTGGCAATGGGAGCCATCTCCAGAGCAACATGCGCAATGTAGAGAGGCGGCTCTCTCACAGTGCTGCCCGCAACGGGCACATGGTAGTCCAGCCCCCTCTCCCTCCACCCAACCCCACCCCCCTTCTCCCTCACCTTGGCAACGGGTGCCATCTCCAGTGCAACATGCACGATGTAGAGAGGCGGCTCCCTGGCAGTGCTGCCAGCCACGGGCACGTGGTAGTCCAGCCCGCCCCGGTTGTCATACGTGGCCGTAGAGGGGTCGCTGCTGTCCATGAACACCAGGTCCAGTATGTACGCGTCTTGAGGCACGGGGACTGGTGGAAGGGGGGGTTGCATGGACACAGGCAGTCAGCGCAGGGAGGATAGTGAGAGGTAAGAGGGGTCGTTGCTGTCCATGATTACAAGGTCCATTATGTAGGCATCCTGAGGCACGGGGACTGGCGGGGTAGATGGGTGAGGGAATGCACACACGCACACAGTAGTAGACAGTGAATGAACAGACACACAGGAACACAGGCACACAGGCATGTGGACGTAGAGGGGTCGCTGCTGTCTATGAACACCAGGTCCATCATGTACGCGTCCTGAGGCACGGGGACTGGTGTGTGGGGGGGGGTTTGGGTGTGTGAATGGAAACAAGCAGTAAAAAGGGCAAGGGACAAAGCGTAGAGCAAGCAGAGAGCATGGACGAGGCACGTGGACAGGAGATCGGGTAGATGGGTGATATAATGTGAATGCATGCAGGCACAAAATATGTAAAGAGGGTATGTTCAGTGACCCCTGTGAGAACTGTGACCCCTGTGACCCCTGTCAGTGTGAGCTGGCACTCAAGAGGCATGAGGGGTGGCTGCTATTCTTGCCATAGGTAGGCATCACGTGGCACAGGGCCCAGCGCGGGTTATGGGTGACCGGGCTCCACAACACCTGCCACTGCTTCACCCTGCACGCAACAACACCCCACCTCAGCACCGCACCCCTCTCTTCCCCCTCACCTTCAGCCACGAGGTGCGTGCCGTTCTCAGTAGGCACCATCTGGAGGGGCAGGAAGCACCCCGGGCAGCATGGGTCCACTGGTTGATATAATTTCATACCATTTCCTAGAGGCGTCTAACAAACAAACTTCTCACTCACCTTCAGCCACGAGATGCGTGCCATTCTCAGCAGGCAGCATGTGAATGGGAAGGAAGCACCCGGACCGGTGGGTCCAGCGGTTGAACGACCCGCGCATCCACACTTTCTCTCTGCCCTGCAGCGCTGTGCCGCTGGGGTTGTAGTACACGCGCACTGCCTCTCCTGCTCTCGGCTCTGCAGGCTCGGTGAAAAACACGTGTGCCTGCGACTGCAGGAACACTGCCTTGGTGCGAGCCTTCATGGCTGCCTTGATCTCTGCACGCCTCGCTGCCTGCAATGGGGAATGGGCAAAAGGAGAAGGAGAAACGGGAACACATGATAGAGATCGGTTTTGCTGGCCCAACGAAGAGCACGTGTGCTTGGGTCTGCACTGCACTGAACTGTAAGTCTTTCAAACACGCCTTTTGAGGCGCCTCACAACCCAGACCACGGTGTGCACTGCATTGCCAAGTCCGTCAGAAAGTTCCAAGCTGTCTTGAAAATGCTCCAAGACCTCTCCCCCAAGCATAGCGTGGCCTCCTTGGGCCTGGCCTCGCTTTTCTACCTCAATTCACAATTACTTTGCCTCATCCCACATCGATGCCTTCTCCCAGCTGAAAACAGAAACTTTTCTGCTCCCAGCTGAAAACAGAAACTTTTCTGCTCCCAGCTGAAAACAGAAACTTTTCTGCTCCCAGCTGAAAACAGAAACTTTTCGAGGCCTCCTTCGCCTCTCGCTCCTCCCTCTCCTGCTTCAGCCGTTGCAAACACTCTGCCGCCATGCCCTCAAACAGAGCCTTAATCCTCTCTGCTATAACCGCCCCAAAACTCCCTCTCCACTCACCTCCTCGGCCTCCTTCGCATCCCTTTCCTCCCTCTCCTGCTCCAACCGTTGCAAGCACTCCGCCGCCATGCCTTCAAACAGGGCCTCAATCCTCATCGCATCGCCAATCCGCCCAGCAAAGTCCCACCGGCTGTTGTTGTCCCACGCGCCTGCTTTCCCCACTGGCCCATCTGCAAACACCCAGTTGAGCGCCACTGCGTCCTGTGGTAGAGACACTGCATCAGAAGCATGGGGGAAATGGAAGGGGTGAATAGGGGGCTGCATTTGGAGAGGTTCGATTCAAACACCCAGTTGAGCGCCACTGTGTCCTGGGATAGAGACACTGCATAAGAGGGATGGGGGAAGAGCAAGACGGTAAATAGAGGTCAAGGTCTTGCTGTTGCTGCTGATGCCCCACACACCCGCTCTCCCCACGGGCCCATCCGCAAACACTCAGTTGAGCGCCACTGCGTCCTGGGGTAGAGACACTGCATTAGAGGGATGGGGGAAATGGAAGGGGTGAATAGGGGGCCATGTCTTGCTGCTATTGTTGCCCACGTGTCAAACAATAGCCCACCTGCAAACAACCTGTTGAGCGCCACAGCGGCTTGGGGCAGAGTGACTGCATCAGTGGGATGGTGAAAGTGGGATGGTGAAAGTAGGAAGGTTTGAATAGAGGGAAGGGAAGTGAGTGTGTATGAGGCTGGCTGGCAGCCTTCCATGCAACCAAAGAGTTTTGTCTGCACCCTGATGTCCTTATTGAGAATAAAAACTTACACAAACATTTCATCCACCACCATCAACCACGCACCTTCCACAGCCCACCAGTCGCCATCCTCGTTATTAACACGCTCCAGTTTCTCCACAACAGTAACGCCTCCCTGCCACCCATTCACCCCTGCATGCAGCCACACCTCCCCCGCCCCTGCCAGAGGCCTACCCGCCCGGTTATACTCCACCCTCACCACCAACCCCCTCTCAACCTCCCCTTCCGCCCCTTCCTTCACCTCCAGGCGCCACACCCCTTTCTCTCCCGCCCCTGCACTCTCCCAGATCGGCCCGAGCCTCTGCCGAGCCTCATCAGCCACAGCTCGGGCTGTCGCCCGTTCCTCCTCCTGCTGGGCTCGCAGCAGGGCAGCCCTCCTCTCCTCCTCTGCCTTCCGCTCCCTCTCTGCCTCCTCTGCTGCCCTCTCCTCCGCCTCCCTCTGCTTCTGCTCATTCAAAAACCGTTCAAACTCATCCTCTACCATGCCCCCATCTATTGAGATGTAGAAATCTCGTCCCTCGTTGTTCTCATACACGTTGTCACTGCTGTGGAAAACGAAGTTCATCTGATAGGCCTCCTTCGGTATAGTCACGCTGCACGTCCACCAGTCATTTGCCACCTCATTAGAAGGCGTCAGCTCATACTTAAACGGCTCCCACTGCCACTCGTTAAAGGCACCAACAACAAAAATCCCAGCCTTCTCCTTCAGCGCGCTCGCCGGGCGGTGGAAAAAAATCTCCACAGTTTCGCCTGCCCGGACCTGCCCGGCCTCAGGGTAGAAAAACATTTTAGCTGTGACAAACTCGTGCTCTGCCTGCAGCGCCTGTAGCTTCTCCTGCCGATTTCCTCCCCTCATCTCCCTCACAGCAGCTTCTCTCTCCTTCGCTGCAGCCTTGTCTAACTCCCTCCCCCGTTGTGCTGCTGACGCCGCTGCTGCGGCTGCTGCTTCTGCTGCCAATGCTACTGCTGCTGCTGCTTCTGCTGATGCTGCTGCTGCCGCTGCTGCTGCTGCTGCTGCTGCTGCTGCTGCTGCTGCTGATGCTGCTGCTGGTTCTGCTTCACCTCCTGCTACTGCCTCTCTCTGCTGCTGTGCTGCTACAGCAGCCGCTTCACTTTCTTCTTTCAGACGCATCTCCTCCATCCTCGCTGCCTGCTCTGCCTCCTGCCATCCTACGGCCTCCTCTCTCCTCAATTTCTCCAACCCTACCACTGCCTCCTCCCCTGTGCCTCCCATCCCCACATCTCCCACCGCTGCCACCCTCTCCCTCTCTACCCCTGCTATTATCTCCTCTCCCCCCACTGCTATTCCAACCTCCCCACCCACTGCCATCCCTGCCAGGGCCTTGAGCCGCTCTGCCACGCGCCTCTCCTCCTCCTCTAGATCCACCTCCGTGCCTCCACCTGTGCTGCTGCTCCCGAAATTGCTGCTGCCAAGGCTGGTGTTGATGCCAGCACTGTAGCTGCTGCCTGTGCTATAGCTCGCATCAGCACCGTAGCTGACATCCGTACTGTAGCTGACATCAGCACTGTAGCTGACATCAGCACTGTAGCTGACATCAGCACCGTAGCTGACATCAGCACCGTAGGTGACATCAGCACCGTAGCTCACATCACCAACAGAGCTCACATCAGCACTAAAGCCATCCCCAGCACCATAGCTGCTGTCCGCAACGAGACTGGTACCAGCAGCATTAGCGTCGCCAAGCGTCACCTCCAGTTCCACACCCAAGTCCACTGGCGGTGGTGGGTCATAAATAAGTGCCTCTTCCAACGCCTCTACCTCCCCCCCGCTGTTCCGCTCACCCTCAGCACCGTAGCCACCGTCAGCAACGGGACTGCTACCAGCAGCAGTGGCGCCGAGCATCCCCTCCAGACCCACACCCAAGTCCACTGGCGGTGGCGAGTCATAAATAAGCGCCTCCTCCTCCTCTGATGCCTTCACCTCCCTCGTGCTGTCCTGTGCACCCACCTGCTCCTCCGTTTCCATCACGGCCTCCCCCTCGGCCTCTTCCTCCTCTTCCGCCTCTCCCTCATCTACCACCTCTTCCGCCTCTTCCTCCTCCACCTCGTTATCCTCTTCCGCTTCCCCCACGTCCTCCTCCTCATCGTCACTCACGGCCACATCAACCACGGGTCGTTCCGCCACGCTGAGAAGCTTCGCCGCTTCTTCCATCACCCTCTGCGCCTCCTGCATCACTCCGGCCGCCGCCTCTCCCCCGTCATCCTCATCTTCCTCGGTCTCGTCCTCCCAACTCACACCCTCATCTCTTCCCTCCTCTTCCACCCCACCCACAACCGACCTCTCCTCCCCCTCTGTCCCCTCCTCCCTCTCCCATAACTCCTCCGGAACCTCGTCCTCCCTATCCGCTTCACCATCATCCACCATGGAAAAGATAATCCCGTCGTCCGTCACCGTGATTCGCGCGTTCTTAAACTCCTCCGGATCCAGGCCATCCACGTGGCTGATCCCACGGCCCGCACGGACGGCTGTGGTTGGCCGGCGAGCAGGACGGGGAGCAGAGGAGGACGAGGACGGGGCGGAGGCAGCAAGAAGCGACGGAGTCACCCAAGTAACCCCATGTGAATTTCCCTGAAGGGCTCTTGCGCTCATGTTCCTACTCCTGGACCGCACTGAGCTGACAGATCGCGGCGCTCTGGTAGGGACTCGCGCGACATTGCCATTGCGGAGGAGCGAGGTGGGAACGGTGAGCAGCGAAATCGACGGACTGCCGCGCAGAATGCTAACGGTTTTCGCGAGCTCCTGCGACATCGCAGGCGAACGAGCGAAAAGAAGCTCTCTGCCAGCGAGAGACAAAACGGGAAAGCGCGTAGTAATAAATATTTATGTATTTCTTCCACGGAGATGGAGGTGTTTACATTCACGCTTTCAGGTTGCCAAGAGTGCGAGATGTAGAATCTGCAGGAACGAAGGGAATGTCCACACCACACACCACAGGGTGTATGTGCCTATTTACCAGGTGGGGAGGAGTTCTAGGATGAAATTGCCGACTGCAATGCCTGATAGACCAAACTTGGGGATTCCCGAGGTTGGGGTCATGGGAGTTCCCAAGGGAATGGCAGCAAGCAACCTCTCTGGCTCCAGGCCTCGGTTTGGGGGCTCCAGATGATCACTTGGGCGGAGCCTCGGTCAGCTTCCAAGGCAACAAAATCTTAATCTCCGACAAATGGACGGCTAACGTAATGTGTGCTCCCCATATCGTTGGCCCCGAAGCTCTCTGATCTGCACAGATGGAAGGCCAAGGGGCTGTGTTGATTGAAGCATCATAACAGGGTGAATGGTCTCTACAAGTGGCAGATGTATAATCCACAGGTACAGTAACTAACCACATTCATTCTGGATGTTAGACTTCCAGAAATCGGTGGGGTAGGGAACCGACTCATAGATTTCCACTCACATGTTCCTTGTTTCATTACATGGGGGTAATACATGAACCGATTCATTGGTGTATATATTACAGAGATGCCCATAGCATACAGCCTTATTGATAAATATCTGACTTCACACGCTGTTAAACCTACAATCAACAAGTGTGCTAGATTGACAAGGGGGTAACCTGCAAGCAATATAGAGACAGAAGAAAGGTGCATGATTAGAAACCAGTAGTCACTGGGAGCATAGGAGCGACAATTGGACATAGCTGGCTCAGAAGTCATTGTAAGTCTAGCAACTTACGTACGAAAAAAAAAAAAAGCGAGCCGCTGACAAGGGGGCTTGGAGCAATGTGTGCACGAGGTTGGGAGAGGCAGGACGACAGGGAGTGGGGGAGAGGTGGGGAGGGCTGTCTTATAGGGTAGCGTGGATGGGAAGAGAGGGAACGGGTTCAGAGACACAGTGTCAGTTTCACAAGCATCAAATCCTGGTCGTTAGTAGTAGTGAAATCTGTTGCGACCAAGTACCTGTCTCGTGTGTCTGGTCAGTGTGTTGGCCTCGTCGTAGCTCCCCCACGCTTATGAACTCGACAAGGATCGAAATTGCCGCGACGACAGCAGCGACGCTTGGAGCGACGGCGAGTGCAGAGGCGATGCACGGGAGGCCGGCGACAGCAGCGAATGGGAGAGAGCGCCTGGTGACCGTAATGAATGGGAATGATGTTGATCGCTTGCTAACCGCGACATGCGACTTGTTGACGGGGCAGCGCGCGCGAGATACGCCGCGTATTGATCCGCTGTCCACGGCTGTGGGAAGAGGACAGTGCGTAAGGGGTGGAGGGTAAGGTGCGAAGGGGAGGGACGGAGGAAGGAAAAAGGGGAGGGAGAAGGGGAGGGTGAGGAAAGCGAGTACAGAGGGTAGGGGGTCGAGATGGGAAAGGGACGCAACAATTCAAGCCCGAGGCTAGAGATCGTTTAGATCGGATTCGTCGATTCAAGATCATTCAGAAGTTTCGAAAGTTGCGGCATGCGACGATGGCACAAGGAACTCGACGTGCAGTTAACACAAGGCGTTTTGATGAATGGCAGAAAACAGCCACGTGTCTCCTCGTGAGGCTGACGAGCTGGATTCCATGACGAAACCTCACGAATATTTGTTTTTCTTCGGCGAGATCGCGTACCTGTTAGATAGTTTGCAGCACGCCAGAAACAAATACGGACCGTCCACTGGCTTCCAGACCTGCGGGCTTCCAGACCTGCAGCAACATGCCGCGTAATTCTGGAATTGGAACATAATCACGACGGCTGACCTGTTCTGCTGAGAAAACGAGATCGCTCCCTCCAAACGACGAGCCTCCGTCGAATGCGGCGCTGCTTCCGATATAAGCTCCGTTTAGGGAATTGCGCGTCGCGTACGATTTGCTATCACGCGGTGCTCCGGGAGGGGCGCTGAGCGGCGAGGAGAGGCTGTCGCCGCACGTGACGAGCACGAGGCCCGTGCAGAACGAGCAGGAACACGTGGCACAGCCCAGCCCTAGGAAAAAAGGAAGCGCCGAGCCGCTGCAGGCAGAAAACAGTGCCATCAACAGGAAGATGGTGTCTACGCCGTAGATGGATGGTCCACGATATGTGATCTCTACAGTGTAACGCTCAGTTCAGGGAATGATGAGAATAAAAACGACCTCGCAGTTTCGTTGGTGATGCGAAATTGGATTTTGAGGCGCTATCTACGTCGGAAAGAAGTATCAAACAAGATGCTCCAAGCTGGAAAAACCCGTTTGTAATCAGCCGACGTGAGAAGACTAGTTTCTACAGGATCATGCTGGGAGTTACGCCTGCACGATTTTGAGCATTTGAGTCAACGGCAGAATTCCACAAGGGATGGGAAAGAGGAGATCATTCAGCTCCGTAGTACAATCATGTACACGTAGTCTATGGAGCAGTGGCTTGCCATGCCAGCTAGAATGGGGAGGCTTTTGCCGTTTAGATAGTTCGAGCTGGGGTTTTTTCTGTAGGGGGGGTTACTGGAGAGATGCTTGGATGGGATGGGATCGCTGAATGACGAGAGGAAAACGAGGAGAATGCCAGTGATGTAGGCGGCAAATGCATTTCCCAACCACAGGCTCACGCCACGCAACGCCACTCCAGTCAGAGGCGAGGCGTGGTGAGGTGAGGTGAGGCGGGTGACTTGTGGATGGATGTCAAACTGGGGTGTTTCACTCAAACTTGTGTGTGGAGTTTTGTAATTGTCCAGTGTTGTCAAATAACGGCGTTTTGTTGTTACCCATTCAAATATATAGCAATGCCGTTACAGAAATACACGAGCTCCCAGCCCTAAACCATTGTCCGTGACCAGATCAAAGATTACGAGAAAACTCAGGTGTAATAAACCACCTTCAAGTACATGCACGTGAAAGGTCAACTGCAGCAACGAAAAAACTTCCGTCGTCAACCCCATGGCAGCAGCGACCAGCACAGATTCGGACACCATTGGTCGACTGAAGTAGCGGCGCGGCGGGCAGGATGGGTCAGAGGGAAAGCAACTGCCATTCAAACAGAGGTCATCGCGGTTCCAGGAGGTTCAACGAACATCTAGGCGGTGGTGATTGCTGCAGTGAGGTGATTGGGGAGCAGTTCTGTTGTGGTGGCATTGTTGTTGTTCGCGACTGCCACGGCGATTAACATGTGTGGTGAACAGTGGCAGCCTCTTGTTCGCAACTGTACACATCAAATGCTTTTGTGGCCTGAGGATACAATGGTGGTGTGCAGAGGGCAGCCTAAGATTCCGTTCCGAAACACGCGATTTTCGGTTTTCGCAAGGCGCAAAAACGAGGTGGACTTCTCTATAAAGTCATCAATGTACACTGCCACTGTTTTTTTTTCATACGAGCACAAAATGAAGGGATTCCCTCAGCCATGAGTACACATAGATCTCTACACCATAATTCATGGGTTCAGTGCAGGGTACTCCTGCGCCACCGAAAAGCATTCAATTAGTTATTTGACCCCTCTTGACGAAAATTTTCTCCAGCATACACTCATGAGTGATTTGACCCCCTTTGGTTGGCCTTTACAGCTGCTACTCGAGCTGCCACAGCTGCTCGATTTGCTGCAGACACTGCCTTAGACACCCGGTCATCCACTCTCAGCACATTCTCCGCCTTTGCTGCTGCCCGGCGTGCCTCCTGGGAGATACAAACCAGATCAGAAGGGGAGAAGCAAGAGTGTCCTGAGAAACGGTAAGGAAGCAACAGCATGATGTGCCTAAGGAACATATGAGCACCCACCTGAGTACTCACCTGAGCGCCTACCTGAACAACATATGGCACCCGAGCAACCACGAGCACCCACCTGAACGGCATGCAGCACGCGGGAGTGGTTGACAGCGTTGGGCGACGAGGCCGAGTGGGGTGTGTGCGGTGTGAGTGGCGTGGACAGCCCCATCCCACCAGCAGACAAAGGAGTCCGTACCGGCGACACCAACCCACTGCCTCCCCCTCCTCCTGCCACCAGCTCTGTCGACAATCCCGGTCCTCCTCCTGCCCCTCCTGCCGCCCCACCCGCCATCCCCATTCCACCCCCTGCCCCAGCCCCTGCTCCAGCACCCAACGCACCCGCTGCTCCCCCGGTCCCAATCTCCCCACTTCCACCCCCCACCCCACCCACACCCCCAACCCCAACACTCCCACTCCCCCCACTCCCCCCAACCACCCCACCCCCCACAGCCCCTCCCCCACCCATCCCACTCCCAGTGGGAGAGGCAGGGAGGGTGTTGGTGCTGCGGGTCTCGAGGGCCCCAAGGTGCCAGTAGCCGGCGCGCATGTCGCCGTTGCGGAAGGTGTACATGCCCAGGCCCTGCTTGCGCCCCTCGTGCCATGCACCCTCGTACCGGTGCCCGTTGCTGAACTCGTACACGCCGTACCCATGCATGCGGTCAGCGAAATACTCTCCTGCATACGTGTCACCGTTCCTGATGGGTGGAAGGGGGGGTGGTTTGGGGAATGAGGTGAGAGACCATCGTGGCATGCCTGCCTGCCCTCATACCGGTGACCGTTGCTGAACTCATACACCCCGTACCCGTGCATACGGTCAGCGAAATACTCTCCTGCATATGTGTCTCCATTTCTGGTGGGGGGGGTTGATTGAGGAAAGAAAGAGGTGAGAGACCATAGTGGCCTGCCCTCATACCCCGTACCCATGCATGCGGTCAGCAAAGCATGCGCCCATAAGAGTGCCGCCGTTCCTGGTGTGGGGTGTTTGGAGGTCGGTTTACAAGGTCGGTCGAGGTAAGAGGATGGTGTAGGAGATAAGAGGAAATAAGCAGGGAACAATTTTTTCAATGCACTGTGGAGCACCATCGTAGCAGCGGTTGTTGCTGCTGGGGTTACGCACCCCAGGCCCTTGTGTGCTTGGAGACGTTAAACAAAAAGTGTGTGCGTGTGGGTGTGGTGTCAAATCATGGTCAAGCCACAACACTCACTATATTGTGAAATTGCACCTCAACCCATGCTCTCACCTCAACACATGCTCTCACCTCAAACCCTGCTGTCACACCCACCTGAATGTATACTTGCCAAACCCATGCTTGGCGCCCCATGCAAACTCCCCGACATTCTCGCTGCCATCGCCGCACATCTACACGCCAGCCCTGTGGCTCTGCCCTTTCGAGTCGACTCACAACACGACTCAAGGCATGATTCGTGTGGTCTCACCTGAAGGTATACTTGCCGAATCCATGCTTGGCACCCCAAGCAAACTCGCCCACATACTTGCTGCCATCGCCGCACGTCTGAACGCCCACCCCGTGGCTCTGCCCCTTCGCCCACATCCCCGCAAACACATCTCCGGTATAAAACCTATACACCCCATACCCCTCCCTCAGCCCCTTCCTGTACTGGCCTCGGTATCGACTCCCCCGCGACCAAGTCTCAATCCCATACCCATCGTATTTTCCGTCCACCCAGTCGCCTTCATACCGCCCGCTGCCCGAGAAAATGTATACTCCGCTGCCCGAGCATCTGCCCTGGTAAAATTCTCCTTCGTACCGGTCCCCATTGGCATACACGTGGATCCCGCACCCAGATGCCGCCCGGGAGGCGCTACGAGACGAAAGGCCCGCCGCACCAGCAGGCCCGGCGGCTGCTGTGGAAGACCCCTCCCCTCCCCCACCATCCGAACCACCCTCACGATCCCTCTCCCTATCTCTCTCTCTCTCACCAGCAGCACCGGTGCCACCACCACCATCATCCCCACCACCACCACCACTGCCATTATTACTGATCCCTCTCCCGCCGCCCCTGCCGCTACGACTGTACCCAAGATACTCCCAGCTGCCGCCCCCACTAGACGCAAACTTCTTATCCAGAGCAGAATAGTTCCCCGTGCCTCCTGTGCCTCTTAGCCTGAACGGCCGAGGGCCAGACGCATACCCCATCCCCGCTCCAGCTGCTGCTGCCGCCGCTGCTGCCGCCCCTCCCCCTCCCCCACCCAGCCCCCCAAACGGCAAGTAATGCGCCCAGGAAGGGAGAATACTCCCCCCTCCCCCTCCGCCTCCGCCTCCCCCGCCCCCTCGGCCCAGCCCAGCCCCTATTCCCAACCTGCCAAACCCGGTGCCATCCGCCACCGCCCTCACCACCACCCGTTTCACTCTCTGCAACCTTTTAACCAACAGCCGCGAGCGGGGGAACGCGGTGTGCAGCAGCAGCGCCAGGCGATCAAAGAAACGGGGGAAGGCGGACCGCAGAGCAGCAGCAGCGCCGAGGAGTAGGATAGAGAGAGCTACCAGCTCCACCCAGGTGGTCCCGGGGGGGGTTTCGTAATCCTCCTCGTCAGGCGGAAACCAGTAGAAGACTGAGAGGAACCGGAACCCCCGTAGGTGCCAGAGGATCAAGACGAGGGCGAAAAAGAGCATGGCGCTTAGGGTTTGCACGTCCACTCGATGGTGGTGCTCCCAAAAGGTAGCTATTGACTGTGTAGCTGCTGCTGCTGCTGTTGCTGTTGCTGATGATGGTGGTGTACTCGTTATAGAGGGGTCCGGGAGCGAGGATAACGCGGCTGCTTCTGCTAGGGATGTCAAGCTGCCTATGTTTTTTGTGATTGTTGGGGATTTGGGGATGGAACCGATTCGTCTGAAGCCTGGTCTCTTGGAACCTGACGCTCCTCCCCCTTTGCTGCCTCCTCTTCTACCCCCCCAAAACTGAAACCCTAACGTCGTCTCTATAGCATTTATAGCTCGTCCCGGTAGCTTACCGAGTCCCTCTACAAACGCGTACAGCCCCTGGGACGCTGCTGACACGTGGCTGTAATCGTGTGGTGGGATTTTCACCCGCCCTCTCCGCCAATCCTCTTCCGCCTTCTCGTCCTTTTCTTTGGGTTCTTTCGCCCGCCCCTCGGGTAACGGTCGCGAGCTCTGCGCTGGGATTGGCTGCTCGCGCTCTAGGGTTTGCTGCCCCGGCCGACCAATCCCAGAAGAGGACGCTGTAGCGGGGTCGTCCCATGCGGGCGGGACTGTGATTGTGATTACTTCGGGGGTGGGAGACGAAACTGGGGGACCTAGATTCACCCCGCCTAATCCAGCGCTCGCGCCGCCTATCCCGCTGCCAATTCCGCCGCTTATTCCGCCCGCGAGCTGCGCGCCTTCGGACGAGACGAACGTGGCGCGCTTGTGCGCCGCGGACGGGATCAGCACCTGGTGGTGATGTGGATGGTCCGCCTGCAGCCACGTGGACGTCCCTCCGCCCACTGCCGCGCCGCCCGACGGGATGTTGAAGACATGCGGGGAGAACCCCGACGCGACTGTCGCGGTTCCGCCGCCTTGGTCCTCGACTACTGAAGACGCGCTGGTCGCACCGCCGCCGCCACCGCCGGTGCCAGTGGTGATGCTGATGGTAGTGCTGGTGGCGGTTGCAGAGGCAGCAGGGCGCGGGAAAGGCGGGGAGAGGTGCAGGGACGAGGAGGGAGCGGCAAACGCGGCGCTACCTCCGGTGATGCCGCTGCTGCTGCTGGTGCTGCTGGTGCTCCCAGTGGCGCTGCCCCCAGTAATTCCGCCTGGTAACCCTGTAACGGGCAATCCTGTCCCTGTTCTCCCGCCAACGGCCCCTGTAACAGGTAGGCCCGACCCTGGTGTTGCCGAGTACATGGAAGAGATTGGAGGGAACCCTAGCCGCTGTCATGTGACGTGGAGAGAGTGGTGAATGAGTCAGATTGAGGGGTGTCTGAGTCGGAAAGAGTCGTCGCTGAGTCACACTGAAGGGTGGCTGAGTCAAACTGACAGGCGGCTGAGTCGGACTGGGAGGTGATGAAAAGTGGGCCGTTCTAGAAATCAAGATGCGGCCCGGCCCAGTCTGCGACCTCACGCGGCTGCGACCAACGTAGCTGCGACCAACGCGGCTGCGACCTAGTCAAATTAAGGAAATGTCGAAGTCGATAACCTAGGAGCCATGATGGCGAGAGTTCACAATTCGCGGTGACGACCAACTGGCAACGGTCCTCTGCTCCTGATTCCCATGATCAAGCAGGTTGACGCCAACACCGGAATTCCCTCAAGCTGAACACCAACGTCTGTAACCTAGATAGGCGAGCTTTAGATGGCGCATATGCGAAACGACATACACGGTATGGCGGCGAGGGCTTTGCAGAGATCGATGCGCATCATTGGGGAGATATGCTATGGACGTCTTTATTCTCGGAACTTGTTAGGTGAGGCTTTTGATGGAGCTTCCATAATTGCCCAGCTTTAGGATTGAGAGGGAAAATATGAGACTTCACAAATTCAAGCAGCAGCCCTCACCCCGCTTACCACACTGCATTCAAGGAACGCCAGGATATCAATCAAACCGCATTCAAACCTTCTGTATCTTGATCATATCGTCTTTGACCCCGTGAAGATTGATAGGTTACCAGACCCCTAAGTGGGTGGCTGGGAGTGTATGGTTGGGCCCCTTCGCTTCGGTACTCTGGTACAAAATTCGGTACAAGTTGAAAAGCCAGGCCCTGGGATTGTCAGACGCTGCTGCTGACGTGTAAATGAATGCCATACTCGATCACAATACACGTACTACCCTGTTGCATTTATTGCATACGAAAAAAACATAAACTTGTAGCTCATTTTCCTTGGGGTAGGGTTTTTGAAGGTGCGTGCATGCTTGAGGGCCTGGATGCTAGCGCATGTCAGCGCTAAACCGAGTGGGTTGCTCTTCCTACGTCTTCGTTCATACGGCTCCTCACTGTGTGTATGCGAGCACTGATAAATTGATGACTACCACCAATTCAAATGGCATCTAGTCCATTCACTTTTACAGGAGCATCAGCTACTCCTACAATATCTTGAAGAACATCAGAAACACTGTAACTAATGGTATTCAATGCAATATCAAAATCAGCAGCATATGCTGACTCCACAATCTTGATAGTGTCCTGAGGCATGGCATGACAGTGAGGGGGAGCATTGAAGAGAGATCATAAGACCATCAGTCGGCACAAAGGCAAGAGTAAGAGCGTGTTCCTACGGCCTCATATCAGGCAACCTCGTATCAGATTCGCGTCGAACCGCACTAAAACGCATCCAACCGCAGTTGAACACACTGAAACGTATTTCACCACGCGAAGCTGATACGAGGTGTGTCTGATACGAGGTGTAGGAACACGCTCTTAGCAAACATGTTCGCTACTACCACACTTCAGATAATCCAAACAGAAGGGAAAGGCATTTACGCACTGTACCCAATCACTGCGAAGAGATGCACAGCAAAGCTGCTAGACCGTACCTTAACATACGCCGCACGCATGCGCTGCTCCGCCCTTGTTTTGTGGAATTTGGATCCCAGCTTGAAAATCTTCATCGCGTTTTCCGTCGACCAGTTCAGCCTGCTCACCACCCGTAGCATGTCCTCTTGCAGAGTTTCATATTTGCCAGCAATGTCGTATTTGATCATGTCCAGTCCGCACAGCAGTGTCTGCAAGCGTGCGGATTGAAAGAACGGGAAGGGTCAGCGGACACATGCGAAGGGAAATCACGCCATTATGTAAAGGAAGGAGAACAAAAAAAAAAAAAAAAAAAAAAAAAAAAAAGAGAAGAAAAGAGGCGTCAACAACCGAGGAATTATCACAAGAACGTTTACCGTCCCTTAGCCACAATGAGGATACTGGAAGCTATAGGTCCAAAGATAATGGAAGCTATAGGTCCAAAGATAATGGAAGCTATAGGTCCAATACAGTCACATGCAGTCATGTACGGTAAGTCTGCTTTCGTACCTGCGTGGCAATATGTTTATCCCCGTTACCGCCCATTTCTCGGAGAATCTCAACCACCAAGCGAGCGGAATCCTTGAAGCTCACAGTGCTGTTCACCGCGTACCCGTGACGCATCAAGCGCTCATGGCCCAACAACAGCTGCACGGTAATCACAAGGAGAGAGGCATGTAAGGCGTACGCAGGCGGTCTTTCGACACTGCATCACACACACACAGGACAACAAGATATGGACATTCACATCAATCTAGATCAAACACAGATTGGTGACTTTTGAGTCAACTTGAAAGTCACCTCGAAAATCATGCGATGGTTCAAACACAGATTGGACAGATTGGTTCTTGAAATTTCCCAAAACCAGCTTGTCTCATCCATTGGTTTGAACTAAGAGATCCGGACAAGCATCCATTACAATACCAGAATACGTGCCTCGCCACACACACACCGATAGGGCACCTCCCCTCGATCCACCTCCCCTCCATCACCTTCACCCCCAGTGCAGCAACCCAGAAACCCACCTGGTTCCACATGCTGACGTTGCGGCTCTCCCCACCATTAGCCAGCTTGTCCCCGTGCGCGGACAGCAACCGTGGCAGCGAGTGGCGCACAAACACCACCTTCACCAGGTCGCCCGAGTCACGTGGAACATCACATCGTCCTTGCCCATCTCTCGCCCCATGAGCGTGAGCCCGTTGATGGGCACGTGGTGCGTGTGGAAGTAGGAGGAGATGTGCTTAAAGCCTCGTTCGCTGCGCATCCACATTTTCCAGCTCGTTGAGGCCACCTTCTGAATCTGACAGTACATCACGCCGAGCTTCTCTGTGAGGGGGGAGGGAGGATGGGGGAAGCAGGGGAATGCAGGGAGAGGGGAGGTCAGGCGGCTGTGAGGGATGGGTGGAAGTAGAATGCGATGTGCTTAAAGCCCCGTTCGCTGCACATCCACATCTTCCCACTCGTTGACGCCACCTTCTGTACCTGACAGTACATCACCCCGAGCTTCTCTGTCAGGGGGGAGGGCAGAAGAAATGGGGAGGGCATCACCCCGTGCATCTCCCACCGTCCATCTCCCCCGGCCATCTCTCACCGGCCATCTTTCACCGTCCATCTCTCACCGTCCATCTCTCACCGTCCATCCCCCACCGTCCATCTCTCACCGACCATCTCTCACCGAGCATCTCTCACCGTCCATCTCTCATTGTCCATCTCTCACCGTCCATCTCTCACCGTCCATGAACATCTGCTGTGCAAACCGCAGGCTAGACGGGTGAGGGGCAGACAGCCGGCTCCACAGCAGCAAGGGGGAGGCCGAGGGGACCCCTGGCAGCAGCAGCTAAGGCCGTGAGCAGGTGGGCCTCGGGGGAATCGTGGAGGGCAAAGAAGTGCGAGGGCGCGTGGGCCAGCGTGAGGAACTCGACTATCTGAGGGGGTTGGGTGCGGTGGGGTGGGGTGGGGTGGGGTGGGGTGGGGTGGGAAGCGGAGAGGAAAGGTGAGAGGTGGTGCTTAGTGGGCAGACAGCAGGCTCCACAGCAGCCGGGGGAGCAAGAAGAGCCTGGCAGCAGTGGAGGGCCGTGAGGAGTCGGGCCTCGGGGGAATCGTGGAGGACAAAGAAGAGCGAGGGCGCGTGGGCTAGAGCAAGCAACTCCACGATCTGAGGGGTTGGTGTGGGGTGGGGTGGGGTGGGGTGGGGCGGGGTGGGGTGGGGTGTTGAAGAAGAACATTCGCTTGTGGTATTGCGGCTGACCTTTTGGTAGATTTCTGATCTAACTCTACCCGCGTCACACCTATCCCATCCCACCACTGCTTCACTCACTCCACACACCTCCAGTTGCGCACATAGCTCCCTTCTTCCTGGTCCTCCAAACACCCACTTCCACCACCACAAACTCTCCATCCCGCCGCTCCCCCATTTCCCCCCCTCAAGCACACCGCTCCACCACCCACTCCTCCTCCCCCACTTCTTCCTCCCTTTTCCCCTGTCAATTCCTCCCCAGATGCCGCTCCCTCCCCCACCCTCTCCCCAGATACTCCCCCCCGTCCATCCCCCCCACCACGCCCCTCCCCCGCAACCCAACTCCCCCCTCTTCCGTGTTGCCTGCAGCACCAGTGGCGCCCGTGACTCATGGAACATGCCGGCCGTAGCCTGGGCGGCAGACGGCACTGTAGCAGCCACAGTGAAGTCGTGGTCCGGGCGGCGCAGTGCGGCGTAGGCGATGCGGTGGGCGGCACAGGAGGAGAGGGAGTGGGAGAAGGGGAGGGTGCGGCAGTTGGTGCAGGAGGGGGGGATGAGGAGAGAGAGGTTCGCGGGGCAGCCAGGGCAGGAGTCTAGAGGGGTGTCCTGATGGTGGGGGGGAAGGGAGGGGAGGGTGGGGGAGGGGAGTAGTGGGAGGGGAATAGGCAGGATGGAAAGGTGAGGGTGCTGCAAGCATATGTGGCAGGTGGTACATGAGTGTGAGTGATTGTAGCGAAGGATACGGAGTGTGAGTGACTGTAGCGAAAGATACTGAGTGTGAGTGTCTGTAGCGAAGGATACTGAGTGTGAGTGACTGTAGCGAAGGATGTCAGAATGTTATGTTTGTCTAGCCTGCAGTGAGGTACTCAATAGTGAGTACAGCCCAATCTAGGGTTTGCTATATGTACTCAACTGCTTGCTAGTGCAACCCCTCTTTTCTGTTTCATTCTCAGTTTCTCACATGGAATCAGAGCAGGTCGACCCTCCTGGGTCGATCCTGTTGATGGGCCCACCAAAACTTCCGCTGCCATCACTGCCTATCGCGCGCCTCGGGCGCGCGCTATCGTGGGCGCGCGGCCTTTTTTCTTCCCGCCGCGCGTTAGGGGCGCGCGGCGGTTTTCTGCCCGTCGCGCCGCCCTGCAGAGCGCGCGACGCCCTGCCTGCCCGTCGTGCGCCCCGTGGCGCGCGACGGTTCCCTGCCCGTCGTGCACCCCGAGGCATGCGGCGGTTTCATCGCCTGTCGCGGCGCACCGGGGGCTCGCGCACCCCCCTCCCCCCCTTCCCGTCGCCTGTCGCGGCACACCTGGGGCTCGCGCACCCCCCCCCCCCCCTTTTCCCGTCGCCTGTCGAGGCGACCTGGGGGGGCCCGGACGGGCCGCGCGTCGCCCCTTTTGTCGCCCGTCACGGCGCCCTGGGGGGCCGCGCGTCGGCCCCTCCTGTCTTCGTTGCGGCCCTGCCCGGCCCTGCCGTCCTGCCCCGGCCCTGTCCCGGCCCTGCACTGCCCGGCCCTGCTCAGTCGCGGCCCTCCCCCCGTCTTCGTCGTGGCCCTGCCCTTCTGCCGCCCCCGTTGCGGCCCTGCCCTGCTGCCGCCCTGCGGCGGCCCTACCTTGTGTTAGGGTTTGGGGGTGGCTAGTAGGGGGTGGCGGGTGTGCGGCCTCCCCTGCTCCTCCTCCTCCTCCGTCTCCCACTGCTGCAGCTGCCGCTGAGGGGGGTGGGTGTGTGGGAGCCGAAGGAGTGGTACTAGGGGGTGGAGTGTGAGTAGTACTAGGGGTGCAGCAGGGGGTGTGTGAATGGGGGGTGCGACAGTGGGGGAGGTTGAAGGGAAGTAGCCGTCGTGTTGCCAGCAGTGCCAGTAGTCCGGAGGTGCGCCTCCGGTAGCCCAGCGAGCCTGCTGCGCCAGTCGCCCGTGGGTCCGTTGCTCCTGCCGCTCGTCTTAGCCGCGGAGCCAGTTACTCCTGTAGTCCGGAGGTGCGCCTCCGGTAGCCACAGTGCGCGCCGCTCCTGTTGCCCGTGTGTCTGCAGCTTCAACCGTTGCCTCCTATCTCCTTTCCTATCAGTCCAGCCTCCTCCTCCTCACTTGCCTCTGTGATAGCCTCTAGCTTTACTTACTACTGTGAACTATAAACTGTTGCTTCTTGTACTTGTGCTCAGAATGCGTGGTGACATTGTGATCCACCTGTGAGAGAATTGAGAAGGAAAATGAGAAAGGATGATTGCACTAGCAAGCAGCTGGATACATATAACAAACCCTAACAGGGTTGTACTCACTACAGAGTACCCCACTGCAGACTAGAGAAACATAATGTTCTGACACACCCCCATAGTCAAAGTGGGGTATGATCAGCACAACAGGCAAAGCAATGCAAGCTCAGGGTGGATCACAATGTCACCACACATTCTGAGCACAAGTACAAGAAGTAACAGTTTAAAGTTCACAATAAATAAGCAAAGCTAGAGGCTCTCACAGAGGGCAAGTGAGGAGGAGGAGGCTGGACTAATAGGAGAGGAGAGAGGAGGCAACGGCGGAAGCTGCAGACACACGGGCAACAGGAGCGGCGCGCACTGTGGTTACCGGAGGCGCACCTCCGGACTACAGGAGTAACTGGCTCCGCGGCTAAGACGAGCGGCAGGAGCAACGGACCCACGGGCGAGGATAACGCGGCTGCTTCTGCTAGGGATGTCAAGCTGCCTATGTTTTTTGTGATTGTTGGGGATTTGGGGATGGAACCGATTCGTCTGAAGCCTGGTCTCTTGGAACCTGACGCTCCTCCCCCTTTGCTGCCTCCTCTTCTACCCCCCCAAAACTGAAACCCTAACGTCGTCTCTATAGCATTTATAGCTCGTCCCGGTAGCTTACCGAGTCCCTCTACAAACGCGTACAGCCCCTGGGACGCTGCTGACACGTGGCTGTAATCGTGTGGTGGGATTTTCACCCGCCCTCTCCGCCAATCCTCTTCCGCCTTCTCGTCCTTTTCTTTGGGTTCTTTCGCCCGCCCCTCGGGTAACGGTCGCGAGCTCTGCGCTGGGATTGGCTGCTCGCGCTCTAGGGTTTGCTGCCCCGGCCGACCAATCCCAGAAGAGGACGCTGTAGCGGGGTCGTCCCATGCGGGCGGGACTGTGATTGTGATTACTTCGGGGGTGGGAGACGAAACTGGGGGACCTAGATTCACCCCGCCTAATCCAGCGCTCGCGCCGCCTATCCCGCTGCCAATTCCGCCGCTTATTCCGCCCGCGAGCTGCGCGCCTTCGGACGAGACGAACGTGGCGCGCTTGTGCGCCGCGGACGGGATCAGCACCTGGTGGTGATGTGGATGGTCCGCCTGCAGCCACGTGGACGTCCCTCCGCCCACTGCCGCGCCGCCCGACGGGATGTTGAAGACATGCGGGGAGAACCCCGACGCGACTGTCGCGGTTCCGCCGCCTTGGTCCTCGACTACTGAAGACGCGCTGGTCGCACCGCCGCCGCCACCGCCGGTGCCAGTGGTGATGCTGATGGTAGTGCTGGTGGCGGTTGCAGAGGCAGCAGGGCGCGGGAAAGGCGGGGAGAGGTGCAGGGACGAGGAGGGAGCGGCAAACGCGGCGCTACCTCCGGTGATGCCGCTGCTGCTGCTGGTGCTGCTGGTGCTCCCAGTGGCGCTGCCCCCAGTAATTCCGCCTGGTAACCCTGTAACGGGCAATCCTGTCCCTGTTCTCCCGCCAACGGCCCCTGTAACAGGTAGGCCCGACCCTGGTGTTGCCGAGTACATGGAAGAGATTGGAGGGAACCCTAGCCGCTGTCATGTGACGTGGAGAGAGTGGTGAATGAGTCAGATTGAGGGGTGTCTGAGTCGGAAAGAGTCGTCGCTGAGTCACACTGAAGGGTGGCTGAGTCAAACTGACAGGCGGCTGAGTCGGACTGGGAGGTGATGAAAAGTGGGCCGTTCTAGAAATCAAGATGCGGCCCGGCCCAGTCTGCGACCTCACGCGGCTGCGACCAACGTAGCTGCGACCAACGCGGCTGCGACCTAGTCAAATTAAGGAAATGTCGAAGTCGATAACCTAGGAGCCATGATGGCGAGAGTTCACAATTCGCGGTGACGACCAACTGGCAACGGTCCTCTGCTCCTGATTCCCATGATCAAGCAGGTTGACGCCAACACCGGAATTCCCTCAAGCTGAACACCAACGTCTGTAACCTAGATAGGCGAGCTTTAGATGGCGCATATGCGAAACGACATACACGGTATGGCGGCGAGGGCTTTGCAGAGATCGATGCGCATCATTGGGGAGATATGCTATGGACGTCTTTATTCTCGGAACTTGTTAGGTGAGGCTTTTGATGGAGCTTCCATAATTGCCCAGCTTTAGGATTGAGAGGGAAAATATGAGACTTCACAAATTCAAGCAGCAGCCCTCACCCCGCTTACCACACTGCATTCAAGGAACGCCAGGATATCAATCAAACCGCATTCAAACCTTCTGTATCTTGATCATATCGTCTTTGACCCCGTGAAGATTGATAGGTTACCAGACCCCTAAGTGGGTGGCTGGGAGTGTATGGTTGGGCCCCTTCGCTTCGGTACTCTGGTACAAAATTCGGTACAAGTTGAAAAGCCAGGCCCTGGGATTGTCAGACGCTGCTGCTGACGTGTAAATGAATGCCATACTCGATCACAATACACGTACTACCCTGTTGCATTTATTGCATACGAAAAAAACATAAACTTGTAGCTCATTTTCCTTGGGGTAGGGTTTTTGAAGGTGCGTGCATGCTTGAGGGCCTGGATGCTAGCGCATGTCAGCGCTAAACCGAGTGGGTTGCTCTTCCTACGTCTTCGTTCATACGGCTCCTCACTGTGTGTATGCGAGCACTGATAAATTGATGACTACCACCAATTCAAATGGCATCTAGTCCATTCACTTTTACAGGAGCATCAGCTACTCCTACAATATCTTGAAGAACATCAGAAACACTGTAACTAATGGTATTCAATGCAATATCAAAATCAGCAGCATATGCTGACTCCACAATCTTGATAGTGTCCTGAGGCATGGCATGACAGTGAGGGGGAGCATTGAAGAGAGATCATAAGACCATCAGTCGGCACAAAGGCAAGAGTAAGAGCGTGTTCCTACGGCCTCATATCAGGCAACCTCGTATCAGATTCGCGTCGAACCGCACTAAAACGCATCCAACCGCAGTTGAACACACTGAAACGTATTTCACCACGCGAAGCTGATACGAGGTGTGTCTGATACGAGGTGTAGGAACACGCTCTTAGCAAACATGTTCGCTACTACCACACTTCAGATAATCCAAACAGAAGGGAAAGGCATTTACGCACTGTACCCAATCACTGCGAAGAGATGCACAGCAAAGCTGCTAGACCGTACCTTAACATACGCCGCACGCATGCGCTGCTCCGCCCTTGTTTTGTGGAATTTGGATCCCAGCTTGAAAATCTTCATCGCGTTTTCCGTCGACCAGTTCAGCCTGCTCACCACCCGTAGCATGTCCTCTTGCAGAGTTTCATATTTGCCAGCAATGTCGTATTTGATCATGTCCAGTCCGCACAGCAGTGTCTGCAAGCGTGCGGATTGAAAGAACGGGAAGGGTCAGCGGACACATGCGAAGGGAAATCACGCCATTATGTAAAGGAAGGAGAACAAAAAAAAAAAAAAAAAAAAAAAAAAAAAGAGAAGAAAAGAGGCGTCAACAACCGAGGAATTATCACAAGAACGTTTACCGTCCCTTAGCCACAATGAGGATACTGGAAGCTATAGGTCCAAAGATAATGGAAGCTATAGGTCCAAAGATAATGGAAGCTATAGGTCCAATACAGTCACATGCAGTCATGTACGGTAAGTCTGCTTTCGTACCTGCGTGGCAATATGTTTATCCCCGTTACCGCCCATTTCTCGGAGAATCTCAACCACCAAGCGAGCGGAATCCTTGAAGCTCACAGTGCTGTTCACCGCATACCCGTGACGCATCAAGCGCTCATGGCCCAACAACAGCTGCACGGTAATCACAAGGAGAGAGGCATGTAAGGCGTACGCAGGCGGTCTTTCGACACTGCATCACACACACACAGGACAACAAGATATGGACATTCACATCAATCTAGATCAAACACAGATTGGTGACTTTTGAGTCAACTTGAAAGTCACCTCGAAAATCATGCGATGGTTCAAACACAGATTGGACAGATTGGTTCTTGAAATTTCCCAAAACCAGCTTGTCTCATCCATTGGTTTGAACTAAGAGATCCGGACAAGCATCCATTACAATACCAGAATACGTGCCTCGCCACACACACACCGATAGGGCACCTCCCCTCGATCCACCTCCCCTCCATCACCTTCACCCCCAGTGCAGCAACCCAGAAACCCACCTGGTTCCACATGCTGACGTTGCGGCTCTCCCCACCATTAGCCAGCTTGTCCCCGTGCGCGGACAGCAACCGTGGCAGCGAGTGGCGCACAAACACCACCTTCACCAGGTCGCCCGAGTCACGTGGAACATCACATCGTCCTTGCCCATCTCTCGCCCCATGAGCGTGAGCCCGTTGATGGGCACGTGGTGCGTGTGGAAGTAGGAGGAGATGTGCTTAAAGCCTCGTTCGCTGCGCATCCACATTTTCCAGCTCGTTGAGGCCACCTTCTGAATCTGACAGTACATCACGCCGAGCTTCTCTGTGAGGGGGGAGGGAGGATGGGGGAAGCAGGGGAATGCAGGGAGAGGGGAGGTCAGGCGGCTGTGAGGGATGGGTGGAAGTAGAATGCGATGTGCTTAAAGCCCCGTTCGCTGCACATCCACATCTTCCCACTCGTTGACGCCACCTTCTGTACCTGACAGTACATCACCCCGAGCTTCTCTGTCAGGGGGGAGGGCAGAAGAAATGGGGAGGGCATCACCCCGTGCATCTCCCACCGTCCATCTCCCCCGGCCATCTCTCACCGGCCATCTTTCACCGTCCATCTCTCACCGTCCATCTCTCACCGTCCATCCCCCACCGTCCATCTCTCACCGACCATCTCTCACCGAGCATCTCTCACCGTCCATCTCTCATTGTCCATCTCTCACCGTCCATCTCTCACCGTCCATGAACATCTGCTGTGCAAACCGCAGGCTAGACGGGTGAGGGGCAGACAGCCGGCTCCACAGCAGCAAGGGGGAGGCCGAGGGGACCCCTGGCAGCAGCAGCTAAGGCCGTGAGCAGGTGGGCCTCGGGGGAATCGTGGAGGGCAAAGAAGTGCGAGGGCGCGTGGGCCAGCGTGAGGAGCTCGACTATCTGAGGGGGTTGGGTGCGGTGGGGTGGGGTGGGGTGGGGTGGGGTGGGGTGGGAAGCGGAGAGGAAAGGTGAGAGGTGGTGCTTAGTGGGCAGACAGCAGGCTCCACAGCAGCCGGGGGAGCAAGAAGAGCCTGGCAGCAGTGGAGGGCCGTGAGGAGTCGGGCCTCGGGGGAATCGTGGAGGACAAAGAAGAGCGAGGGCGCGTGGGCTAGAGCAAGCAACTCCACGATCTGAGGGGTTGGTGTGGGGTGGGGTGGGGTGGGGTGGGGCGGGGTGGGGTGGGGTGTTGAAGAAGAACATTCGCTTGTGGTATTGCGGCTGACCTTTTGGTAGATTTCTGATCTAACTCTACCCGCGTCACACCTATCCCATCCCACCACTGCTTCACTCACTCCACACACCTCCAGTTGCGCACATAGCTCCCTTCTTCCTGGTCCTCCAAACACCCACTTCCACCACCACAAACTCTCCATCCCGCCGCTCCCCCATTTCCCCCCCTCAAGCACACCGCTCCACCACCCACTCCTCCTCCCCCACTTCTTCCTCCCTTTTCCCCTGTCAATTCCTCCCCAGATGCCGCTCCCTCCCCCACCCTCTCCCCAGATACTCCCCCCCGTCCATCCCCCCCACCACGCCCCTCCCCCGCAACCCAACTCCCCCCTCTTCCGTGTTGCCTGCAGCACCAGTGGCGCCCGTGACTCATGGAACATGCCGGCCGTAGCCTGGGCGGCAGACGGCACTGTAGCAGCCACAGTGAAGTCGTGGTCCGGGCGGCGCAGTGCGGCGTAGGCGATGCGGTGGGCGGCACAGGAGGAGAGGGAGTGGGAGAAGGGGAGGGTGCGGCAGTTGGTGCAGGAGGGGGGGATGAGGAGAGAGAGGTTCGCGGGGCAGCCAGGGCAGGAGTCTAGAGGGGTGTCCTGATGGTGGGGGGGAAGGGAGGGGAGGGTGGGGGAGGGGAGTAGTGGGAGGGGAATAGGCAGGATGGAAAGGTGAGGGTGCTGCAAGCATATGTGGCAGGTGGTACATGAGTGTGAGTGATTGTAGCGAAGGATACGGAGTGTGAGTGACTGTAGCGAAAGATACTGAGTGTGAGTGTCTGTAGCGAAGGATACTGAGTGTGAGTGACTGTAGCGAAGGATGTCAGAATGTTATGTTTGTCTAGCCTGCAGTGAGGTACTCAATAGTGAGTACAGCCCAATCTAGGGTTTGCTATATGTACTCAACTGCTTGCTAGTGCAACCCCTCTTTTCTGTTTCATTCTCAGTTTCTCACATGGAATCAGAGCAGGTCGACCCTCCTGGGTCGATCCTGTTGATGGGCCCACCAAAACTTCCGCTGCCATCACTGCCTATCGCGCGCCTCGGGCGCGCGCTATCGTGGGCGCGCGGCCTTTTTTCTTCCCGCCGCGCGTTAGGGGCGCGCGGCGGTTTTCTGCCCGTCGCGCCGCCCTGCAGAGCGCGCGACGCCCTGCC